TTTTCCCCAAATTCCACATCTGGGTGTGTCCTGGGACCCTGGCCACCAGGACAGTCCGACGGGGTACGCGCCGCCTGCCCCGCCCCCAATATTTCAGCCCTCCCTCACAGCACACCCACTCGATCTACCCTCCAGCGGGCCTAATCCTCGAAACTCCGCCTGCAATCTCATCAGAGACCTTGACTCCAAGCAGGCCCGAAGCCCCGACCACACAACCTGGCCCCTAAGAGCCATCGGGCAAACCAAACTTTTGCCCTTACCGACATTTCTGAACTCAAGCCCTCTCCCCCGAGGGCTTCACATGCACCCCTGAAGCAGCACCCCGGCTGGGAAGTGCTGACTGGACCCTTCCCAGACACGCACACACACCTCTTCCCAGCCCAGTCGAGCCCATGGACAGCTTCGACTATGCTCCCCCCTCCATCGCCAGTCCGAGTACAGGAGGAAATCGACCACGTGGTGGGACGACAGCGGCTGCCGACACCGGGGGACCGAGTGGCCATGCCTTACACAGATGCCGTGATCCACGAGGTGCAGCGCTTCGCAGATGTCCTCCCCTTGAACTTGCCTCACCGCGTCATTCAGGACACGACCTTTCGCGGCTTCCTGCTACCCAAAGTGCGCTGGGCACCTGACAAATGACATGTGACACCATAAAAAGAGGCATCCCAGGCTCATGCAACTGGCATCCAAGGCTGTAGCAAGGATCCCAGGCCCTAGCAATCCACACCCCAGAACTTAGCAACTGGCATCTGAGCAAGCCCTAGCAGCAGACATCGGAGGCTCTTAAATCCAGACCCTCAGCCTCTGCCCAGGACTCCATCCAGAACCATAGTGGACTGGACCCTGTCCTGAACCCCGGACCCCATCTCCATAACAGGTCTCCTCCCTAGGATCCCTCTCCAGAATCCCCAGGGTCTGAGACTACATCCTGGAGATCCTCTGTGCCTAAACACTGTTCTCAGAGACCCTGCTCCCTCCCCAGAAACCCCAAATCCATTCCCACAATGGCAGGTATTTCATGCCCCTGCCATAGGCCCTAAACACAGCTTCCAGCATCCATCACTGGGAATCTCAGACACCCAAACAATTCCTGGACCCCTGGTGGAGTCCTATGCTTCACACACCCCTATCAAATCCCCAAGAACCCCCCACCCTGTAGAGCAGAAACCCTGGGTGGGGAACCTCCCAACCCTTCTGTACCACCGATTCTCCCTCCCACCCACACAGGGCACAGATATCATCACCGTCCTTAATACGGTCCACTACGACCCCACTCAGTTCCTGAAGCCCCAGGAATTCAACCCTGAGCACTTTCTGGATGCCAGTCAGTCCTTCAAGAAGAGCCCAGCCTTCATGCCCTTCTCAGCTGGTGAGAGTGGTGGGGACAAGAGTCAGTCTTTCAGGCCTGTTACTCTCACCTACATTGCTCTCATTCTACTCTCCAAACCCTCTCACTTCTTCATCCCACCCATCCTGAGCTTTGGATGTGCAGAGACTTCCATTCTCCCTTCCAACTCTGCTCCTACAGGCAGATAATGACTGAAATCCTTGTGGATGGAGGTCAGGAGGCAGGAGAATAATTTAATTTGAAGTGGTCACTGCAATCTTTCCACTGGGTGGCGCAAGTGAGGTGGTTCTAGTTTTTCTTGGCTTTGATCTACGCCACTGGGGAAAAATCTTTCTTGTATAACTCAATATTGGAAAGGAAAAAAGGAGGGGGGATAATAATAGGTAACTTAGCATATTGCCTACTGTGTGCCGAGCGCTGCCTCTGAGAACTATAAGAGTGGTGACTAAGAGCTGGGCTTTGCAGCCAGACTCCAGCTCCTTCCCCAAGCTATAGCTTTGGATATGTTACGTCTGTGCCTCAATTTCCACATCTATAAAATGGAGATAATAATAAAGCCTACCTCTTGGAGTCGTTATGAGGATTAAATTAATTAATAGCCGTATAGTGCTTAGAGTAGTGCGTGGCACACAGTAATGCCTACAAAAGCGTAATATTCTCACTGCTTATCTGCATTTACCATTCGCACAACCTAATGAGGCATTATTGTCATTTGCATTTTAGATGCCCAGAAACTATGGCTTGCCTAAGATCACAAAAATAGTAATGGCAGATCCGGGATTCAAACTCATGAAGTTGCATGTGTGTCAGACAGGTCATTCTGGTCCAAGAGTTACTTAAAGCATCTTTCCCAGGCTTTTAGATGGGTGGATCTGTGACGTCCCCAGCTGTCGTATGTTTTCCTCTGGGGCTTTGAGACTGGACCCCCTCATCCCATCTTATCTCTTCGTTCCTCCCCACCCTCGCACCCCGCAGGTCCACGACTGTGCCTGGGTGAGTCGCTGGCGCGCATGGAGCTCTTCCTCTACCTCTCCGCCATCCTGCAGAACTTCTCACTGCAGCCGCTGGGGGCGCCCGAGGACATCGACTTGACCCCGCGCACCTCCGGTCTCGGCAATTTGCCACGGCCCTACGAGCTGTGCATGCGCGCGCGCTGACGCCCAGTCCCTTATCCTGTGGGCGATGACGCCTGCCCCTGCGGGTTGCTCCATACCTGTTGTCGGCCCACTGTGCCCCTATTCCTCTCACCTTCTGCCTGCCACATCCCTCATCGCTCCTATCCTTACCAGGTCCGTGTCCCCAGAGGCAGAGAAAGACGTGGGTAAGGGGAGGTGCATGCCTCGTTTTACTCGCGGCATGGGGTTTTTATTCGTTCTATTAGGGACCCTTTGGGGGACTTTTTGTATCATTTCCTAGTACATTACAATAGATTAAAACCTGCTTTGGCCGAATTCAAGGGAGGAGGACAATTCCTAGGATGGGGAGAAGGGAGGTCTTGTTGCAGGGAGAGGAGACACCTAATTGTGACTAGTTCCACACTCACCCTTGGGGTGGCTAAGAATTGGGAGAAATTGTTTCTTGGAGATAGGCTGGAATATAAAGGCCGCGAGGGCCTGAAGACAGGCAAATAAACCAGGGCAGAGAGATTCCAAACAGCTCTGCAAGAGATGAAGGACTCTGTAAAAAGAGGAACATGTGTAAGCAGGGAGAAGGTGAGAAATGCGAAGATATAAATAGACACAGAGACTGAGAAATAACAATTATTAACACATGGTGCTTCCTAGTCACACACTGTTCTAAATCTCTCACTGAAATCTCCCAATGAGGCAAAACAATATCACTATTCATTTTTGCAGATGAGCAAACTGAGGCTCACAGAGGTGAAGTGACCTGGCCAAGATCACACAGCCAGAAACAGGCAGAGCATCTGGTTCCAACACTGTTCCTCTCAATCTCACAGAGCAGAGACACAGAGGAAAGCAGAGAGATATGGAGACTGAGAAGCGGGGAGGCAAAAAGGATAGAAGATAGAGACAAGGAAGGAAACAGAAATGACCAGAGAGAGACAGAGAGGAAGAGCAATGATGGGGAAGTGAGGTACCAGAAGATAGAAACCATCGCCCCTTTCTCACCCCTCTGCTTGGACTATTCCTTCAGCTTGAATTCCTCCTTTTGGGGTGGAGGTAGCAGTCCCAGGCCTGCGGCCTCCCAGCGTGGGACAGGACATCCTGACATCCTGCTGACAGTTGCTTTTCTTAATGATCTTCACTGAACCAGAGTCAGGCAGAGTGGGGCTGGCCCCCAGCCATGGGCAGAGGTGGCCTGAGAGGCCCTACCCTTAACAGGATCTCCCCAAGGCCATCCAGAAGCTGCGACATGCTCTGCTGAACAGGGGGCCACTGGGGTGAGGCATATAGGCTGTCCCCACATGGGGCATCCTTGCCCTAATCTCCATGCTGTTCCCACCACAGGCTGACCAGAGTCTGCCCCAGGGCCAGGTCATGGATGCAGAGGTGGAGGGAGAGAAGGAGAGACTCAGAAGTCCTGAGAAAGATGGAGAGACTGTGAAGAGATACTGAAAAAGAGACAGAGAGAGACAGAGACACACAGAGACAGCAGAGAGATCTAGGAAGCCAAAGACTGGGAATGAGACAGAAAGAGAGAGGAAGAGAGAGAGGCGCTGAGAGGAAGAAGACAAGGAGATCGTAAAACAGAGAGAGAGATTAATAAAGAACAGAGATGAAGAGAGACAGAGATCTGAGAGAAAAAGAGAAAGGGAGATTAAGCGACAGGAGTCTCAAGAGATGAGACACAGAGACAGACAGGAAAAGAGACAGTCCCAGGATTTGGCAAAAGACAGAGACTCACAGAAATAGAGTCTGAGTTAAGAGAGAGACAAAAATCAGGATGACGAAAGTCATGCATTCATTCAACAAACATTCACTGAATACCCACTGTGTTCTAAGCACTATTTTAGGTGCTAGGGATACAGAAGTGAAAAAAACAAACAACAAAAAAACAAAATGCCTGGTCTTGAAGACGCTCTAACAGAGAGGATTCATTAGAGAGCCTGACAGAGTGGGATGGGGTGGGGTCAGGGAAGGGCATGCTTTCTGCACCCCACCATACCCCTGCTGTCTGTGAAGTCAGCACCCTGCCCTACAACCCCTCCCAGTCACCAGGTTCCTGGACAGAGAAAAGCTGACAGGAAGACCCACAACAAGAGACAGAGAGACAGAGGCAGGGAGACAAGGAAGCACAGACAGGGAGATCAGGGTAAAGACAAATAGGGAGAGATGCAGAGAGAGAAAAAGACATATAGAAAACACACGAACAGAGGCAGATGCTGAGAGTAAAAAGATGGACAGAGAAAGAGAGATGAATAGACAGGCACAGAGATGGAGAGTAAGAGACACTGAGAGAGATAAAGATGCTGAGAGACACTCCCAGAGACAAGCCCAGACTCTGCACAGCCCCCCACCCTCTCCCAAGACCTGGGCCCTGTGCCAGACACCTGGCGGAAGGCTAGATCTGGCAAGGCAAGGGCAGGATGGTGGTTCGCATTCCTGAACAGTTCCAAGTACTGACTCAGCAATGTCACCACTGCTGGTCCATCCAGGCCTGGGTCTGCCCCCTCTAGCCCACACCCCCAGGGTCCACTGGAGTGAGGTGTAAGTTCATCTGTCATCATGACCTGGTCTCAGGTGGAGGTGCCCACTAAGAGGTTTGGGGGACTGGAGACCAGGGAGTGTAGCGGCATGGGTATAGGACATTTGGGGGCATCTGGGACCACAGCATTGGGAATAGATAGAAATGCAGGAGTTCAGGGCCAGGCATAACTATAGGGATACAAGGGGACCAACATGTGGGAAAGCAGCCAGAAGTCATTAGGATAGGCACAGATGTGCCAGGCTGATGGGTATCATGAAGCTAGGGAACTTGGTAAGCATCTGGAAGACAGAGAGAGCATACAGGGCTCCAAGAGCAGTGGGCAGAGGAGTGCCAAAGGCTCAGGTGTGTGTCCCTAGGAATCACAGCCAAAGGGCACAGGAGTGCCAGGCTAATGGACATGTCACCAGGGATGTTTTTTAAGTGTATTTAGGAACGAGAAGTATAGTCATGTACCACTTACCAATGGAATACGTTCTGAGAAATGCGTCATTAGGCGATTTTGTCATTGTGTGAACATCCTAGAGTGCACTTACACATGTCTAGATGGTCTAGCCTACTACACACCTAGGCTGTATGGGATAGCCTATTGCTCCTAGGCTACAAACCTGTACAGAATAGTACTGTAGAAAACAACATGAGATTAAATCAAGCCCAAGAGAAATGATGCAATCAAGAGACTCAGTAAATACAAGATGCATGAGGCATCACACTGCACACTGTTTACAACACATTTTTTAAAGTAGAAAGTATACTATCTAAAATAATGATACAAAATGTAGTAAATACATAAACCAGTAACATAGTCGTTTATTATCAAGTATTATGCACTGTACGTAACTAGACACTTCTCTGACTGTCAGAGCAGTAGGTGTGTTTATCCAGCATCACCACAAACATGCGAGTAATGCATTGCACTATGACCTTACCATGGCTACGTTGTCACTAGGTGATAGGAATTTTCCAGCTCCGTTATAATCTTACGGAACCACCGTTGAAGATGCAGTCTGCTGTTAACTTAAACGCTGTGTGACTGTACAGGGTACAGATTTCAGGGGTCACGGTCCCAGAGAGATTCGGGAATGCATGCCTACAGACCAAATAAGATGGATCCAAAGGTGCTAGGGACTCAGGAGTGTGCACCTGTTAGCCAAGTGTAATGACACAGAAATGTTTGTGCATGAAATATGCCAAATAGAGCAGGCTGAGGCTGGTCCAAAAAAGGCCAGGCATAGTCAGGCCCCGCAGTGCTAGGACTAAAGGGCAGGGTGACCTTGGGTTGGGGGATCTGGGGAATGACACCCACCCCTCCCATTCGGGGTCTCTGCACCCCCCACCCCGTTCCAAGGCCCAAAGGAAATCAAACAGAGGCAAACGGGAAGGGGCGCGGGCATCGAGGAGCAAGGACAGGATGACCACAGGAATCCCAGACCTGCTTCTGCTGTTCCTGCCACTGGTCCTAGGCGCAGGGGATGGGGTGCTCAGGGCACTCAGAGGCAGGGGGCCCTACCCCCCCCACACACACACACCCTACCCCACCACCCCCACCGACGCCTCTCTCGCTGAGGGGAAATCTGCTGCAGCTGGAACCCAGACATCTGGACGGTGTACTCATGGAGGTAGCCCTGACAGTGGGTCGGGGGTCAGAATGCTGCATTCCTGGAGATGGGGCTGGGGGCTGGAACTCCCAGTTCTCTGAATGTAAACAGAGCTGACGGTTCCACCAGTCCTAGGAAGGATGAGGGGCCTGGAGTCCTGCGTTCTGGAAAAGGAGACTGGATGGGTCAAGAAGGGGGGAGTGGGAGTGGGGTGGAGGGTGTTACGAGAAGTCAGATCTGGAGGGAAGAGGGGCAGTGGCCCTGAACTTCTGGTTCAAAGTGGAGTCCCGCTGCCCCATCCCCAACGTCCATTCCTGGGACCCGACGAAAGAAAGGGAGCCTGAGGTGAGCAGTCCTGGGGCGCTGCGGAAGGGGAGCAGAGGGGTCTACACTCCTGGTTCGAGGCTGAGTAAGTACTAACCAGACGCCTAGTTCTGAAGGTGAAGGTGGCTGGAGACCTGCGTTTCTACATCCTGAGGGAAGCGGGAGCCTGGACTCCTGGGTCTGAGGGGAGAAGGAGCTGAGGATCTGAACTCCTGGGCCTGGAATGGGGCCGAGACAAGAACTCCTGGGCTAGAAGGGCGACGGGGACGGGGCTCTGGAATCTCGGTGGAGGAGGGGGTCGGGCGCCCCAACAGGGACCCGCTGAGCACCGGCCCGTGTAGGTCTGGCCGCTGGGGCCCGCGCGCTGCTGTGGGGCTGTGCGGCTACGCAGCACTGCGGGACGCATCGGTGCGGCAGGCGACGCCTTCTCCGGCCGCGGGGCCACTGCAGTCTTTGAAGGCTTCGCACGCGGAAACGACGAGGCACGGGCGGCGGAAGGGCGGGCCCGGGCAACCGGTTTCGGCCGTAAAGGCCGGGCCGAGGGAAATGGGGCGGGGCCTACTAGAGAACCAACCCTAAGGAGCACCAGCTGCGAGGTGGGGCGGAGCCGAAGTGTAGAATGAGCCGGGGTGTCGGGTTCCTCGAGCAGTCAAGAGAAGAGCCTAAGAGTCAAAGCCAAGAGAGCAAGCGCTGGTCAGGGGCGGGGCCAGCTGAGGTGGGGCCAATGTGTGAAGAGGGCCGAGAAGGCTGGGGCGGCGACCAAGAAGTCTGGAAAAGCAGCAGGACGAAGGGTTGCGAGAAAGTCGGGTCCGCGTCCGCGCCTGGACCCTTCCGGGAGGCGTGACCGACTCCCAGCCCGCCCCCTTCTCTGCCCCACCCCCAGGCACCCTGTTTTCCAACCGGCCGCGCCAGCGGACCCTGCGCGTTTTTGCACTTGCAGTGCCTAAGGAGCTCGGGTCGGGTACGCGGACCATCCGGGAGCGCGTCCTGGAGGAAGCAGTTTGTCTGCTTGGCGAATTCCAAGCCACCATTGGTGCGGCCTGCTGGAGAAAGCAGGGGGGCCTGGTGTGGGTGTGGCACATAGACCAGGTGGGAAAGCGTTTGGGTGGAACGAAGCCAGTAAGCCCAAGAGCTAGCTGGGGGCCGAGCCACAGCGTTATGACCTCGACCTGTTCCTACTCCCAGGAGCCCCGTTCGACTCCCGAAGACTACTAGACAATTCAGTATCTAATGTTATCTTCGGGAACCGCTATGGCAATAAGGACCCGGAGTTCCTGAGGCTTCTGAACTTCAATAACTTCTGCACTATGAGTTCCAGACGGGGAGACGTGAGAGGGCCGGTTCCATCCCTTTCTTGTGAGCCCGACCTATGCCAAATCCTGAGCACTAGACCCACCAAGAGTGGATTAGAATGGGAGTCTTGGAATGGAATTGTCCTAGAACTTTTAACATCAAAGTCCTGGTCGCGTCTCCAGTTAGGGAAACTAGTGGTCTTTTTCAAGGTCCTTTTGAGATCCTGGCCCCTCAGATGTACATTCTCCCCTCCCTCCTGGGCTGGATTCCAGGCCCACACCAAGAAATTTTCCTAAGCTTTGCAGAACTTCAGGTCTTCATCTCAGAGCAGACGCAGCAGCAATTTCACTATTTCCTTGATCAGATGGATGAGGTGCAGGGCTCTGCTGCCCTAAACTCTATCCAAGCTGCCCACAAGGAGGTGCCTGGCACGTGGTGGCACCCATCTCCTCTGTTCGCAGGCAAAGAATGACCCACATACCCTAACCCACTACACTCATGTGGCCACTTCCTGCCCAACGTGCCCAGTGAGCCTGAGAACTCTGCACAGGGGCTGGGAGCACCTACTAACCAAAATCAGCAGGTATGAGCATGCGCAACGCTGAGAACAAGAAATTAGGCCCACCTTCCCGGTGGCTTCTAAATGGGTCTTGGATGGATGAAAGGTCGAGTTCGTGGGTCACCCCTGCACATTCCCTCAGGGCACCTTCGTGATTCCTCAATCCAAGGACCTGGACTGCTTCAACCCCTACTTCCTAGACAACAAGGGCCCGTTCCAGAGTGAGGATGCCTTCACGCCCTTTTCCCCAGGTCTGGCCCAAGCAGGGAGATGGCCAGCCTGGGCAGGCCCTAGGGAACATGAGGTTCTCATCCTCCATCTCTGCCCCCAGGAGAGTGGATGTGCCTGGGCGCAGGCCTGGCCCCATCGGAGACCTTCCTCTTCTTCACCGCCATCCTGCAGTGGTTCCACGTGCTCCCTATGGGCAGCCTCGCCAACACACACCTAACCCCGGAGTGCACTGGACTGGGAAACGTGCCCCAGCCTTCCAGCTCTGCCTGGTGGTCCACTGAGGTCAGGCTCAGCCATCCTCTGCTCACGCTATCAGACCTCCTTATCCCTTTGGTCGATAAAGGCCCTGAATTGCAGATGGAGGCATCTCCTTAGCCAGAAGGAGAGAGGGAGTCAGATGTGTGCAGCTCTGAGGTAAACTTTTATTTCTTGGCTGACAGGACTTCCATGCCTGTGCTCCTCTCAGCACCTTTTATGCTGCCCAAGCAGCAGCAGCCTAGTCCGAAAGGTGCCATGGCCGAAGGGTTTGGGAGTCACTTCACATTCCAGGCTGGAGGAGCGGGGGGCTTGGGGATACTCTCCCCCCAACAAATCTTTGCCAGCAAGAGGCCGTGACTCACCTCAACCCCAACTCCTGCATCTTGGTGGGAGGTGGCAATACCTACTTCCAGCTCTCCACACCTGGGAGGGACACAACCAGACAGGGCAGGACACAGGCCCTTAGCTCCAGTAATGGTAGCTCCCAACACTGGCCCCTGCCCAAGTCACAGTCCCAGCCCCCATCACAGGGCAGCACAGGTCTCTCCTCCTCAGTCCTCAGTAACTGAGGGAGCCCTCCACACCAGGACAGAGGCCAAGCCGGAAGCAGCAGCTGCGGTGAGGAAGGAGTAGGCACCGAGACTGGCTGGCCGCTGGCCGGGCGGCGTGGGCCCGGGGCTCTCCCGACGTCAGGGGAAGCTGTCTGTCCACGCAGCTCGGGCTGGCCACTAGGTGGGTGTACTTGGCTGAGATACAGGTACTTGAACACCTTTCTGTCCCAATGCTGGTGGGGAAGGGAGGGAGACAAGAGATAGTGAGTCATCAGGGAAGAGACAAAGAGGCCAAGGAAAAGCTGGGAAGATGGGGGAGAGGACCAGAAGAGATGGGGCTCATGCTGGGGGTACCAGGAGAGTGGCTGTTGAGGGAAGGTGGGCAGAGGTGAGGAAAAACGTGGCAGGATTTAATAAGAGACTGACATAAGTGGGTGAGGTGGCTTGAGGCCTAGGGAAGAACAGGAAGGACCTGAGGGAGGGGATGCCATCTGAGGCAGGTACCTAGCTGATACTTGTCTTTGGCTGCTGCTCGCTCCTTGGCATCAAAATACCAGACAGTGATGGCGTACCTGGGGACCAGAACAGCCCCAAAGGGAGGTTAGAGATCACTCTTCTTCAATTCCAGCTGTCATAACCATAATGACACTTCTGTTCCCACCTAGACCCCTTCTCAGTACAACACTCCCTAGCCACTCCAGGGGAGCACCTGAGCACATCCCAGAAGTATGGGTCATACCTGGTGGCATAGGCTGGTTTCACCTCATGTGGGTTCCGCCGGTCAGACCAGAAAATGAGCAGCCGGTCAAAAAGTGGCTCAATGTTGGCTACCACGGGCCTGCCTTCAGGAAATATCTGCAGCAGGCCACCATGCACCTGAGGGAAGGCCAGAGGATGAGGCAGGAGGCTGGCACTGCCTGCCCCCAGGAGCCCACCAGGGGGCGCAGCAGCCGCAAACATCACTCCCTCCCACCATTCAGCCTCTTAAAATGAATGACAACTCAGAGTCTGCATCACCATGGAGATGGGCAGGAAGCTACTAAGGAAGACAGGAAGTGGAGGGGAGGGCTCATTAGGCCAGGGGCTGGGCAGACAGCACCATTCCCTGAAGGAGGGGGCTCTGCCACCACACAGTCAACTGGAAGAGCCGGGCGGCAGACTGCCCCACGCCACACACACACCACCACCACCCCCGCCCCGACAGGTTTAGATGGGAGAAGGCTAGAAGCTGAGCTGGAAGTAGAAAACGGCGCAGATGCACCCCACTCCACCTCCATCCCGGCGCCAACACCCTACCTTGACGTCCCAGTTCTGATTCAGGTAATAGATACAGGTGATGCAGCGCCCATCGCCGTGGGGATTGTCAACATGCCTCACATACCCCAGCCCGTTGCCTGGGTAACATGCCACCATGGCCTGGCAGAGACAGAGACAGACGGAGGTGGTTTACTGGGCTAGGCGGGGGCATTTGGGGAAGAAGCCATTACCTCCGTCTCACCCCTCCAGCCCATGGTCTCTCCCCTGACTCAAGTGTCCTGGGCCCCAAGGGCTCCAGCCTCAACTTCCTCCTTTGCCAGCCAAGCCCCCATCCACCAGAAACCTCAGCTCCGGGGCCTCGACAGCCCACTCCCCACCCCTAGAGCCTGGCACCCAGCACCGGCTCAAGGAAGAACTGAAAGTTTCATTTTCTAGAGAACCTGACCCTTCTTCAGACATTTCAGCAGAATAAAACCAGTGTTTTCTGATGTGCGGTGATGTGGCCTCACTGCCCTATACCAGGGGCTCTAGCCCTCAGAGGTTCTCATGTCCTCTGCCTCCGCTGAAGACTGGAATTTCTGAACGTTCCCCAGGTAATTCTAATGCATGGCCATGTTGAGAACCGCGGCCCCTGACCAAAAAGAATCACCGCTAAGTAAATTATGTCTCCTACACATCTGAACAGGTACCAAAACTTAAGAGTGCGACTAGAACCTGAGATCTAATCCCAACTCCAAGGATAACTGGACAATCCCATCACCTGCCTCAAACACCTTGTCTGTAAAATGAGGCTAAACACACATCTCTGTCTACAGCAGTGGCATTAACCCCGCTGAGAGCTTAACTGTGGAAGTTCCTGACCACAAAGACCTAACAGGACTCATTCCGACTTGTGTGTGTACAGGTCTAGCCACAGGTTCTCGTCTCCTGTTCCTCATGACTGCCACTACCCTGGCCAGCCCTGACCCCGCTGAGGCCTGGGCCCAGCCACTCAAGGCCTGTTTCTCATCAAAGAGCTGACAAAAAGGTGGATGTGACTGGTGTGAGGAAAAGGGCCCAGGTGTTCCAACAGACCTAAGTTCCAGGTTCAAGATTTAGAGCTGCCACACAAGCTATGATGTCAGGGAGTGACTCGACTTCCTGTCTCGGGTTCCTCCTCCATGAAATGGAGCTGACACCTACTTCACAGGTTGTTATAGGAACTGAACAAGATACAAATGTCTGGGAAATCACACAGCAGAGTGTCTGCCACATGATGGAGAGCCAAAAAAGCACAGGCTGAAATGACATTAAAAAAAAAAAAAAGTAGTCCCTGTCCTACCCTTTGCCCGAGCCACTGGGAGAGCTGGGGAGGCAAATGGGGGAGCACTGGCATGAAGACTCTCCAGCTCCTCTCCAGCTAGGGACCATATGTCCTGACCCCTTGATTCACACTGATGTCAGGCCAGACTGCCAACTGCTGTTCCCCACTATCGCTCAGCTGTGACTGTAGGCCACAGCCTGGCAAGACAGCCCTGAGATAAACATTCCTGATCAGAAAGATCAGCGTCTGAGGCCAAAACAGGCTTGCTGAGCGCCCTGTGGTAAGCCAGGTGGCTCAATCCCTTGGCCTCCTCCCGACACGTCACGCCCAAGGCTCACCCAACCCCCAGCGTGGATGTAAACCGCTCTGCATGATCCACCACAGCACCTGCCCTGGGAAAGAAGCCAGGAGAGCTGCCGCCAGGTAAGGCCACTCAGCAGTGGCAAGCACGCTTTTCTCTGCCGCACCAGCGCACAGTTAGTGAGCAGACCCCCACAGCAGACCCCCGGCTTCAGAAGGAACACCTCCTCTGCACTGCACACTCCTACAGATAGGTCAGCTCCTCGCTAGGAGGAAAAGAACATGGCTGTGGGCCCAGGTGGCCTGGAATCTGTGAGTCACTGATTAGGGACAGGCAAGGCCTCTCCAGTTAGAATCTAAGCAGAGATTTTGCTGGTTGTGCAAGAGGAGGAGGTGGAGAAGGGTCCAGTGCTGCAACCTCTTCCCCCATAATCCAGCCCCATACAGCAGCCAGAAACCCTTTTTTCCAGCTCTTGGTCAAATCTCTTTAAGTTCCTACTGCAACCTGAAAATTTACAAAATACAAACTCCCAACCTCCGCCTCCAAGGGCACCAACCTCATCTCCGATCCTCATCACTCCTATCCAGCCTCTTGGGCCTGTTCTGGACCAGGCCGAGCTCATCCCCAAGGCCTTTGCACAGGCCTGGAACACTCTTGTCCCTGGTCCCCTTGTTCTTTGGGTGTCGGGTTAAGGGGCACCGTAAGTACTCTAGCTGGAGACACCTAGGCTGATTTTCCACTCCACCTCTCAGTGTGAAATCTGCACAGGTACTTGTTTACCCAGTACTGGCCCAAAGGCAGCACAGTGAAAGCCCCTGGGGCCAGGTCTGTCTCCCTGGCGCCCAGGCATAGCTGCTGACTGAAAGCACTCTTCTGGGCCTCAGGGCCTCCATTCCATTCTGCCCTGTGCACCCTCGCACCACGCAGCAGGGCTGTACTCTGCAGTGTGGCATGGAGTGGGGCTCGTGCATGAAGGCTGAGCACAGAAACAGCCCCTTTAAGGCACCACCCTTCCCCCCCCCACACACACACACACACGCCATGGGGAGTGGAGGGTGGAAGTGTACTCTGGCCCTGGGGAAGCAGCTACTTCCTCCGCAACAAGGGAAAGGGACAACAGGCAGGGTGACATGGAAACACGGACAGTTGTTCCTCACCCTTCCACCTCAGGGAAGGGGCGGCTAGGATTAGAGCCAGGAAACTAAAGAGTTAAAGGCTATTGGTGACAATGTGCCAAGAGCCCCACCACCCCCCCACCACACACACACACACACTCACTCACTCACCCCTAGAAGCTGGGCACTGAGCCAATGACATCAGGCCCCACCTCCAAGCTGCTCTTAAGGGAGCAAACCAAGCCCACCAAGCCCACCAACCCCTCCCTGGAGTCCCCCACGGTAATCCTTGATGCCAGTCACCTCTCTCCCAGCTAAAAGCCAACTGAGCAGAGGAGGGAAGGCAGGAGAACACAGGAGCTCCACTAGGAATGAGAGAGGTTCTTGCTGGCCCTAGCCATGCTGGTGGTCCATGCCCCCACGACCACAGTGGCTACCCAGCCCAGCACCCCACACTCTTACTGCAGAGCCTGGGGAGGGAGCCCAGAAGTTGCCCTCTGAAGGCGGGAAAGCCTGGAGTTGCTGTCTCACTGGGGCAAGGAGGGTCTGAGAGAGACTCCAGTGACTGAGTTGACCCCTCCTCTCCCTTCTCAGCCCAGCCTGGCTTATCTCCCAGGGCGACCGGGGCCACCAAGGGCTGGAAAAGTCCCTCTCCCCCAAATCCTAGCCAAGGCCCTGTCCCCAACTACATCCAAGGCACCAAAGGGGAAGAGATCTGCCCCCTCTACCCAACCCTCCCCTCCTAAAATGGCCACAGACTAGCTGGGGACTTAACTCGGTTTTCCTATCCTGTGGATGAGCAAACAGGCTCAGAAGTGTCCTGCCCTGGGCCACTCAGCTACTGTGGTCTAACCCCAACCTCCCTCCTACAAGGACCCTGGGATGAAGGTGCTGAGCACCCTGAGGCCAGGGAGACTCCCACTGCTCTCTCCTGCCTGCGCAGGAGCCGAGCCCAGGGAGGGGCCCCCTCTGGCTCTCCAGCTATCAAGTAACAGGGGAGAGAGAGAAGTAGGACAAGTTCCGGCTGGGGTGGGGAGGGTACTGGCCTCAGCCCCAGGGGAGCCCTGGTCCCCGAGCCAGCTCCAGCCTGAGGGAAGCTGCAGAGGCAGAACCTGAGATGGGATCTGAGAAAGGGCGGAGGGGACATCAGGAGCATAACCTCATGCCTGAAGGGCTGAACAGGAATGGTGGCATCAGCCAGGCGTCACGGTGTTGTGCAGCGGGCACTCCCTACAGGGCCTGTTCACACACCACCGAGCCTTGGCCTCACGGCCAGGGCCCTCACGCCCCTCCATGAAGGAAACCATCGTGTCAGCAGGCCGGAAAGGCCCTGTGGACCATTGTCCTGTGCGGGGCTCCTGACCCAGGTTCTTGAATGGGCAGCTGGAGGCCTGGGAAGCCCTGACAACGGCCCACAAATACCAATCAAATCAGCATTTTTCTTACAAGAGGGTCGCAAAATGGCAAATTCTCAAAAAGGCTGAGGTTCCAACGAAAGATTAATCACTATTACTCTAAAGCAACGAGAGACACAAAAGCAGAGAATCAAGGGAAGAGACCAGAGCTGGACAGGGCTGAAGTGATGAAGAGACAAGAAAGGATAGAGAATAGAAACTAAGGTGGGGAGGAATGAGAAAGATGGGGACAGGACCTCCAGCCCGGATAACATAGCCATGCAATGGAAGGACACCCAGGAAGCTGTCCTTGAAGCAGATACCATGGTACGGCATACAAGGCACAGTGTGGTCCAGCAGCATCACCACCTCCCTCAGCCTGGCATTGGCCCCACCATCGCCACCATCTCCCCTCCATCTCCTGGTTCTCCTGCCTGGGAAAGCAAATGGACAGGCCAGAAATAGATGAGGGACAGGATGGACTAGACACACAAGCCAGCAGACAGGGACGGATGAAAAGATGGGTGAACAGGGAAGGATAAAGAAAATGACAGGCAAGTGTAGATGAGCAGATGAAGGCAGAAATATATGCCTGCCTATGTAACCCGTTCTTGGTCTTGGCCCATGATCAGACATCAGGGATCTGTGAAACCCACCCTGGCCCATGCAGAGATATGGGGCTATGAATGTCAGCCTCTGTCCTCAGGTTCTTCAAGGGGATCCCTGGCAAGGTCAAAAGGCACTGTGGCTACAGGTCGAATGCCTGGTTTACAGGTGCACAAACTAAGGCCAACAGCACACAGGAAGTGAGAGCCCAAAGCAAACTCCAACACCCCCTCCACTGAAGCTGCCTAAACCCTTCTGCAACCCCCCGAGACCTGTCTTCAAACCCACTGGTGCTGAGAGCACGAGGCATCCAACGAACTCGTGATGGGCAGCCTTACCTTGGTGCGCCCGTTGATGACGTAGCCGCCCAGCCGCCCAGCGCAGTGCCGGATCACAGCATCCACGTGGGCCATGAGGGCCCCAATGCTTCGGCAGCCTGGCTCATGGCCTTCCACCCAGGCAATCTGGTCCCCACGGATGCTGCGTGGCGGGATAGCCCGCTGGCTCACTAGCTGCCCGTCACGCAGGCGCCCGCCCCGCTTCAGGGCCTCCACCTCAGCCAGCACGCGGCTGCCCAGTGCCGCCCCCAGGAAGCTGTCCTTGACACAGATGCCGTAGTACCTCATGCAGGGCACGATATAGTCCAGGGCCAGGCGCTCAGGTGCAGCGGGCAGCTCCTCCTCCCTCAGATTGGCGCTAGCCTCATCGCGGCCACTGCTGCAGCCCATGCCACCCTCCCCCTCCACCTCCTGGTTCTCCTGCCTGGCCCAGGGCCGCTTGCTGGGTGCGGGGGCATCCCCACCATCCTCTGCCCATTTTCGTTTGGGGGCCTCAGGGTGGGCACCCTGAGCTGCCAGTCGCTGGCACCCCTTGGTGACCAGTGCTGCAGCACCCTCGCTTTGCAGTGGCCGCAGTTCGCCACCGTCCTGCCCACCGAAACCCTCCGGCAGGGGGCTGGCTGTGGTGGAAGTGGCTGTGGCTCTGGGGGTCCCACTCCCTGGTGAGGCCTCAGCAGGCACTTCTGGACATCCCGGACAGTGGTAGGAGGATAGCAGGGAACACGGCAGGTACCTCTCCACCCCCATCCTGGACCGGCCAGGCTCCAAAGGCTCTGACACAGAACCTGGCAACTGAGGGAGAGCCTGACTCAGGGGCTGCGGCTGGCACGGGCTGTCCATGGCAGCAGCGTCTTCATCCCCCGGGCATGGAGGGCACGGCCCGGGCCCATGGTGCCACCCTCCTCCGCTGCCACCTCCTCCTCCACTTGATGCGGCCAAGGGCCGGGGCGGCCGGGCCTGGCGTGGGGCAGGGTGAGGCACGGCAGGTGGCAGAGGCTCTTCTTGTGCCCTGAGGGTGCTCACCGGTCCCCAAATCCTCTGCTGTCCCTAGGAGCTCGGGAAGGGACCTATCAGGAGGGTCGCTGGAGAAGGAGAGAAAAAGGGATGTGAGAGGAGTTAGGGTCAGGAAGGCTGGCTGGGGAACAGGGTGAGGGGCAGGGAGGCGGCAGAAAGGCAAACAGACTTGGCTACAGAGATCCCAAAACCTGAGCCAAGTGCAGGAGAAGACCCTGGGAATTTGGGGGAGAAATCACTGACAGACAAGAGTCAGTGAGGTAGGTGGCTGGAGGAGTTAGGCTGGGTAAAAATCTACCCAAAACAAAGGACTGCGGTGGGGGCTGGGAGAGAGAGCATCCTCAGAGACAGACAGACAAACAGAAAAGAAGGAGGGGCCTGAAGTAGAAAAAAAAACGGTGGAAGAGTGGGGAGTAGAATAGAGTTAGAGACAAATAGGGGTGATCTGCCTGGGTGTTCCGGAGAGACACAGAAAGAATGTGCGGGGGGGGGTCCACAGAGAGAGAAAAATGGGGAGTCCAGAGACAAAGAGAACAAGAGAGGCTGGGGGTGGGGGGACAGAGACAGAAAAACAAACCGGAGAAAAGCTGGAAGGGCCTGAGACAGCCGGACAGACCAGGGTGAAGGGGTCGACCTGAGCCCAATGGGAGGAAGCATGTTGGGGGCTGACACACACCCAGACGGAAGGGAGGTCCTGAGAGACAGACGGACGGAAGGGAGCCGCGGGAGGAGAGTCCACAGCGACAGAGGGAAGGGCGGAGGGGATTTCACGTACTTGGGGACAGGACGATGGAAAAAGCGCCCCCCTGCTAATTCCCTTCGGTGCGGGCCCTGAGGCCCCATTGGGGCGCAGCAAGCGACGGAAGCACGGCCTAGGGACCGCTGGGACCCGGGCCCGCTCCCCTCCCCCTCCGCCCA